GGCGTATTACGGTCGCCCGGCGAGCTTATATGGAGACGGGAAAAAGAGGAAGAGGAAGAAAAAGAAGAGACGAAACGGATTCTGGAGTTTCTTGCTCTGCTCTCGCCGACGTTGCCCCGGCTTGAGGACGCCGCCGATGATGATGTTGACGACGGACGATAAAGATGATGAGCGCTATTCCCAAAACCGCTGCTCATGCCGAGAGAAACGACACGTCGCTGGAGTGGTATCGACCACTCTGACGTGGTGCCGAGATTATGATTCTCATTACGTCGGCTATATTTAACATCTAATCCCGCGGTGTAACTGCGAGCATCCTCGCATATCTCGAGATAACTTCCACAGTAATTCGCCCGACGGAACAACACGACGACTGCTCCGAATGAAGCTAACAGCCTCGTACGGATTGATAGACAGGCGATCTGGCAAAAATCACAATTCTGTCGGCGCCGTTAAGCCGACCAAGATTCTTCGCCTTTCGCATGGCGTGTCATTGATGAATTACTCGAAATGGAAAGAGATTCGCCCGCTCTCGAAGCGGCTAAATGGCATCCGTGGTTCACGAGGGGAAGAGGACGCGTTAACGGTGAAAATCGACAGGCGGACGGAAATCTGCCGCGAGGAAATCCGTCGGAAAAGAGAGAAAAGCAAGGCGGAAAGACGCGAGGGAGACCTCTCCTAGGAAATCGAAGACGTGACCAGTGATTATCTTATCGGACGGCGAACAGCATCAGCGCATCAGATCGGCCGTAATCGCGCCGGGTTATTTCTGTATACACCGGGAGGAGCACGCAAGAACGAGAACAGAACGGAGACGGCGAGGAGGAGGCGTGATGGCGAGCAGAAGAAGCTCGCTGCGTCTGTTTGCTCGGCTCCGGGAATAGAAGCGACGAGATGCTGCTGATGCCGGTGTGCCGCTGCTATTGCTGCTGCATGCCGACGGTCCCGGCAATGGCTGCAAAACGAGGAGATGGCGCGGGAAGGAAAAGGAAAAGGACGAGGAGCTGGCGCCGGCGCTCCGCGGTTTCTAAGCGGCCTCCTCCCGGCGCGCTCGTTGAAAATTACCCGGACGCACGTGAAAATTGCCTGGCGGCGCGCGAGTGACCGAGAGTGATGCCGCCGCGGCGCCGCCGGACGGTTTCCAACGTCGTAATCCGCCGGGAACGGAATTGGTACACACGGATCATTTCGACTACTTTCGAGACGTTTCGAGATTTCTTCTCTCGTCGTCGTCGTCGTCGTCGTCGTAACCTCGCGCGATCCATTCGTGATCGCGAACACGCGACAGGACGGCTTTCCGCTCTCGCTCGCGGGAATCTTCGGGTCCGCTCGTTGAGTACAATTGCAAAATGCTTGCTTAAATTGCCGCACGAATATTTACCGTGGCGCTTGAAAGGTGGAACTCGAAAGTTTTCCCGTTACTATCCGCTCGACAATATTCAGTCAGGATAATATACGACACGACTCGAGAGCCCGGAAGAAGGACCGACATGATTACTTAAATTCGTTCGTGAAGTAGAAATTATGTTGTAATCGCGATGACGATGAATGCCGAGTCAGAATACTACGAAATGATGCCTCTCGTGCGTAAATTTATTTTCACGTCAAATTGAACAATTATTTTACGTGTCCTTTTTACGATATACAGTCGCTGAAATAAATGCGTTATTTCATAATAGTATGGATTATAAATATAAAAACGATTTATCGTGTGTTAGGTTGTGAATATCGCGCGAATACAAATGTTCTCGTTGGGAGGCGAAAGATCAACTCTTACGTTACGTAAAAGTATTCCTAAGTCGAAAAAGTGCGCAATGCAATTTCTTTTCACACTCAATTTACTGTGTTTCTTAATTGAATTCTTCTGAGAACTCGAAAGTCAGCGGAAAGATGTTTCATTTCATTATTGGCTACACGATTGTGTATAACAGTAATTATCACCGGAAAAATGTCTACACATTTCTTCTTTTCTTTTTTTTCATTGGTTACAGAACGTACGTAATCCCTTAACATACGTTTACATGCATATACGGGGGTCGGCGGGAATTCATCCCGGGTTTGTCGCAGTACCTCATCGATGTCAACGACCATCGGTGATTCTCCGTGCACGCGCATGCATGAAATCATTTTGAATGACGTCCATTGCAATTTTGCGTCAGAGAGTCTTCCTAAGAAAGACATCTGTTGTGTGCGGTCAGTTCTGCGAAATTTATTATTGGCGACTTCGTCATCCCGGTTATTGCATTCGGCGCTGCGTTCTGGTAATATTTCCGTCAGTTGCGTAGTTTCATGCATGCCGTCTCTTGATTGAAGACACGGTAAAGTAAAAATCACAGCTGATCAGGATCTATTCTTAGTGCGCATTGTATCCGTTCACGTGCATCGAACTCTCTTCCTTCGATGTTGAGCGCGATAGTATTTCCACGACGTTTCCTTCGTCAAGAGTATTTGTCCCTCAGGATTTACGTGTATATACAATTCTTCGCGCGGACAAACCTCTCCCTCGTAATTTTGTCGCAGGCACGTTGTTATGAAACAACATCTCAAGGAGGTCGTTTCTAAGAGCGAGCCTCTTCGCTGTATAAACGCGCCTGCACCTTTCTTTCCGCCGGCGATAAAGCCGGTGATTTCCACGGAAGAGCGGGTTCTTGCCGCGGATTCCGTCGCTTGTTCTCCGATCGAGGGATGAACGGCAGCCTCATGTTCATGGAACATTCGCGGGATGCCTGACGGAAAAATATGAGCTATTTCTGGAGTATAGAGTAACATCCGCTCCGGCCGTTCGGTGTTAAAAACGCTCGTCAGGTCGACGTACAGGCTTTTCTTTGAGAAGGCAACTTCTCAGCGCTCGTAGGAAGCAGTAAGGATAGGAACGACCCACAAGATAAATCTTGTACGATAAAAATTGTCGATTTGGTTCGCTCATCGTCAGTGATCTAGATGAACGATTAGTTTCGCGACGAACTACCGTTTTTACAAGAACTCTACGTTCACGTTGTCGATGTTGCGAGTCACCTGCTTGATAGAACGCGATTCACAAATATCGATGAGTGGATGAAGGGTGGAATATTGTTAAAACGTCGAATCGTCCTTCCTTTCGACGGACTTACGACTTAATCTACCTCATTAGCTGCGTTATTAACTTACCGTAGGCAGCGCACAGAAGTCGTCCGGTGATTCATTCGTTACGTGCACCAGAGAAACTCTGGAAATGAATGATCGCCTTCAGGCTGGAAAATCAATTTTCCGCCGCGTTGCTCGTTTGTTTTTTCTTCATCGGCGAAATGTACACAAGCTGTTTGTAGTTGGACGTGGCGATAGATGTGCGCGTCTCACGCAACGTCTGCCGTTAAGTACCGTTTAATGCGCTAACTGCTGCAACGCGACGCGTCTTTGTTCCACCGCCATCCATTATTTCGCGCGACGAACGCGTGACAGAAGAGTCATATAGCGTCGGGCATTGAATGGTCGCGATATCGCTTGCGATTACCGGCTCGGTTGCGATCGAGGAACGGCGAAAAGGACAGAACTACCAGGCTGTCCTTGCGCCATCATTGGCAACGCGCGCGGCGAAGCTACATTATATTAAATGTTTATGGATGACGTGGTGAACGGCTTTGTCCGCCGGTACACACCGTCGACTAATGGAACGGCGACATGTAACGCGATAAGAAAGCCGTGAGTTCGGACACAAAGGAGGAAAGCGGCCGCTGCTACCTCTTTCAATGCCGGTAGGGATATTATCTCCGTTCGTCGTAAGAATAGCTGGATAACGAGCGAATTATAAAAAATTTGAGCGACATTGCTATCGCCGATATTGTGCTCGGATACGTTATTACTGATCCCGTAGTGATTACCGCACCGCATCGGCATTCCTAAGTGGGAAGACGTGTCGAAAGTAACGTTGATTGTTCGCGCTAACGGCGATATTGATTGCACGGGAATATTGAAGTAACGAAAAAGGAAAGTTGCGAGATTTTCCCGAGGAAACTTTAGAAACTTTAGAAACGTTTCTCCGCGCCACCAAAAAGGTGGGCACAATTCGCATAACTCGGAGGTTGGGAACCATGAAAGAGATTTGCGCCGGGAATTGATCGATTCCCGGAGATGGGATTCCGTGGAAAAAAAGAAATGTTGCGTAACTCGAGAGAAACGTCGATCGGAGATTCGAGGGAACTGGTATCCGTGATAAAATATTACTTGGTCGTGCAATGATCCGCGGAAGTCAGGGCCAGGGATAATAGATCCAACATCGGCAAGGTAATAATAATCTCTGCGCGCATTAGCGGTCTTTTTAACCGCAATTAGTATTAGCCGCGAGTAAATCTCGAATCTCCTGGTACTTTACAATGTACGACTTGAGCGGAACGGTAAATGAATTAATTTAATCCACACCGGGAGAAGTTATAGTTATTTTCGGCTCAGCTATATCCTTTTAATGGTTTTAGCCACAAAAATAGGTAGCAATATACACGTAAGGTCACTACCACTGACGCTACACAGTGAAAAACCATTTTGTACTCGTGTTAAAATCGGTCCTTGTCAACGTTTTTGTGTTAATTTCTCAACACACCCGTGTTTTAATTTAACGTATTCTGCTCATGTCATCTTCATATTTTGCGCTGACACAACGTTTTTTACGCGCACACATTGTGTACAGTAAAACCAGTAAAAATATTACTGAAAGCAGTAACGCCTTCTAGAAAAACGGTCCTGCCGATTGTATTTCTTTCGCTACGATAATTACAGTTACAAATACCAAGTATTTTGCGCACGTTCTCCGCGGACGAAGTACAATAATTGAAGCGGAAGGGGGAACAGCAATCGGCGCTTTCGAGAATACCTTACGAAACGGCGCATTTCTATATGCTTCAAATGTAGATGACGCACTGCGATTAACATTAGAAAGCGCGCGCGGTTTAAAGTACCTGTGCATGCGTCGCGCCTCGCACAGGCCGCGTATTACTTAAACATAGATTTGGAAAATATAACTCACTGACCTACATCCACCATATGCTGGAGAGTCGGGAAACGCCTCTTGACGCGAAGCGAAATCCTCTGCAGCGTAATGACGTACGCGAGCACGGCATACCTCACGATGTTGCGTCTCATTAGCCGCCCCCGTTCGTCCTGAAACAGAAACGAACACACCGCCGATTATACGCGGAGCTCTCGCGAACTTCCCGGTGAATCCGAGATCAGGCGCTCGTCGCGGCCGCTTCTTATTCTGATTTTAATTGACGTTCGAAGCGTCGCGGAATAAATCGGGCGTAGAGTCGGCGAGAACGCGGCGCTGACTTCAAAATTCGTTTCCAAAGCCGATCGAATGCCAGACACGTTTCCCCACGTCTCGTGCGCACTTTCCCCTTGTTCTCTTGGCCCGGCGCGTTACGAGCGTATCGGCTCGAAACCGTTCTAGTATTAATCGGGAGAAAAACCGCCGGTGGCGCCTGCCGCCTGGCTATTTTTCCTTTCGTTCTTGGACATTGACGCGCACTTTTGTAACCGGCCGCGCGTTTTGTAATCCGTCGACAGTCGGCGGACCGCTTGGCGGAATGTCAATTTCATCGGAAATGAACGTCGGCGTTTGAAGACGGTCTCGACATTGAGCGACGATCTCGCGAGTATATGCTCGTATTGCCGTCAAACGGAGATTAGCGGAACGCCAATTATTAATGAAGATAAACAGATTATAAATAAAAGGAATCATCAGAAATTTCGCTGTCTGTTAACGTGTAAGCTCCATTCAAAGAGGCGCGACGTGGATACGAGCGACACTTGAAAGTTCCTAACACGCTATCGCAGATTCCAAAGACCAGACGTGAGGAGATAATTGTACATGTCTCTCGGGCCGTAATTTAATCGTTGAATTTATTAAATTCACCCGTCAAGTCAGTCAAGCCGGACGATCCGATCGCCGCTTCGTCGTCGTAGGTGGTAGTTTTGAAACGGATCGTTACGTATGTGGAACACGGCGAATTAAGATAAAGCATTTTGTAGATCGAGGCACGTATCCCGCGCTCGACATAATGTATGCTACGGCGAAAGAAAGTCGCCGGGACGCAAATTTTCGGGTAATTCATAACACGTATGCATCTGACGTTGCGCGAGTTAAGTTCGGAGCGATCTTGTGAGATCTCGAGTGCTGCTCCGTAGAAAGAAAATTGTAGCACGTCGCGGTGTAAACGGCGATACGACGCTAATACGTGGTCGACACCGAGTTGCGAATCAATTGCAAAAGCGATCGGGGTTATTTGCGCAGCTGCGACAAGGAAGTCTCTTTTTCCGCGACGAGCAGAATCCGATGAGACGAGTCTCGCGTTGCCAATCAACATCTTGTGGATTACACGCTATTTGTCTTCACCTCTTCACGAAGGTTCCCTGCATTCTACGTTTACAGCGGTGATGACTTGTAAAACAGCTCGGGTACGTACAGTTCTCATAAAGCATTACGCCAATTATTATTGATCGCGGTGCAATCGCGTCGGGAAATATCTCGAAACGGCGCCGACGTTCGTTTTTCTTTCCCTCTCTTCTCCTTTTACTTTCTTTAACCTTCAAATAACAAGGTTCATATAGGTCGATCCGTAAAAGTATCTTGCACTTATTCCAACTAGATACTTTTTATTCTCGCAATAAGTTAAAGATGATTTAAAAATAAGTAAAATGTATCCGCAAAATATGTGAAGTAACTGAAACATAACGCTTTATGAGCGCGTTCGCGGAAGTATTAGAACATGGATCCGGTCCGGTCCTATTATTCGAGAATAAAACCATTCCTTTCTCTTTCCTTTCTACTTCCGACCTTCCCGAATCGAGTCATCGCCCGACGTTTCGGAGCTGCACTCGTCTCTCTTCTCAATGATCTCTCGTCTTTCTTTCACGCACGAGAGGCGAGATAGCCCTCTCGTTCGAAATTCCGCGACTTACCGTCGCGCGTGTAAAAATGCCCGTCTTGGAAACGACGCTGCTCGTCGCGCGGGGCATCGAGGGGGGCAAAGGCTCGGGGCCGAACACCGAGCGTCTTGTCTCGGGGCCTGCATTCCAATTGGATTTCAATGAAAGGCGCAGCCCAGGGAGCTCGCACTGACCACTGCGGCGCCGCTCATTCACAAATCGGACACTTGTATTACGCGATTACATGACCACGGGTGCACGTATAACCGTGGGCTCGTTCGCGGCTGGAGGACCTTGTCCCCTACCTACGACGTGAAAAAATTCCATCGGAAACGTTCCTAGAGATTCGCTCCGTCGCACGCACACGCGATTGCACGCGCGCTTTACGCTGCGCTTCGCGCGAAAGTTCACGTGCGAAAACGGGCCGAGATCGAATGCGGTAACTCGTCCGCCGGGAAGGTGTGCAACGTAAGCATAACATGCGATTTCCGCGCATCGAGTGGACACGCGTTATCGTTGGTCTCAACTGGCTTTACGAATGTGTCGATGAAAACGACAATCGTTGTCGTGTCGGAACGCCGTGAGTGACCGGCGAAGAGGATCGAACCTGAGTCGAGATTTTCAATTAATTAAATAATAATTAAGACTTAATTAGTCTTCAAGGGGAGAAAACGGAAATATGTTCCTATTAGCAGCGTCAAAATATCGCAATAGAAGATCTTCGAAAGACTGAATTCAAATTAAAGTCAGACTTGAAATAAGACAAAAATATCGACTTGGGAAGAAGCTCCGTCGCGCGAATGCTAAATGATAAAATCTCTCTCCCAAGGTGACGGAGGAGTCGGTGACTGCCGGAAGACAGAAGCGAGCGGAACGCGGCGGAATTTACGCGGTAGCACAGGTGCTCGTATCTCACCGGCGCGTGCAGCGATATAAATAATAATAAACGTCGCGAAATCCGTGGAAATAAGCCAGCGTTCTCTCACGTTCCGCGACGTAACCCGACACTTCGATTAACCGCGCGTTTAAAGATCCATTACGATATTTCAACAGCCGCGCGCACGGGACCATCGTGTAATCGAGCCGCTTTTTCTCGGGACTTTCTCGAAAATCGTTGCATTCGGACGCGCGCGCTCTCATATATGAAATTGGTAAACGCTCTAAGTGAGAAAGGCGGAGAGGGCGGTTGCGTAAGAAAACGATTAAATCGTTTAGCGGCGATCGCTCGACTCTCGCTAGCTCTATTAATGTTGCGCGCCAATAGCGACCGGTATAGCGCGCTCGCATGTCGCGCAAGTTCGCCTCGATGGGTGTACACACACACACACTCATATATATATATATATATATATATATATAATTAACAGCCGATTATCGGTGAAATAATGAAATGTCGAGGAGAAGAGATGTGTCGTACGTATACACGACGATGTGTGCATGACATGCGCGCGTAGGTTCGTCCTTCTTTCTCGTTGCACTTTCACTTCGACACTTCGTGTCATTGACCAGAGCTGAAAGCTCGCATCGAATTCGCTGCCCAAACGCGTTGCCGAAATTCGAGTTCTCCCACACTCTGCGAGATCACACCGCGTCATCATCGGTCCCGTTAAAGAATTAGAAAGAGACGGTCGAGGTGATTGAGCAATCGATTCAGCATTAATAATGACAAACCGTTGATGAAAAGGCGTGAGATAACTATTTGAAAATAATGAAAGTAAATGAGATAATTATTTGAAAGTAATGAAAGTGACATAATTATTTGGATAAGTAATTAACAGTAATATAATAATGATGAATTCCAAATAAATGCTATAGTTTTAAAGGTTCGGAAGAAATTCGATTTTCTTCGATTTCTTTCCACGAATGAGCAAGACAAATTGAAAAAAGCCGGATTTTTCAACTTTTTCGGTTTCTTTCCGAGGAAAATGGAAAAAAAGCGTCTTATAAATTATAATGAATACATTTTAACGTTTAACAAATACGTCATCTATCTTCGTCTCTGTGTTTGTCGTAGACTTCAAGACAGCATGGGTTTTATCGCTGAATATGCTCTCTGTTGTCATAATTGGTCTGATTACAAATACAAAGGGGACGAAATTTGTGCCAAGGTTCTGGCAAATAATACAACACGCTGGAAATTTCGTGGCGCTCGTGCGCGCGCGTGCGTACGTTTCCTCGAAGTAAATTTCGCGAAAGAACAAAAGCGCGAGTGTGCCATCGACCGCCAATTATAAGGATGATCGTATCGCATTTTTTCGCTCCTGGGCGTGGCATCGCTGGGTTGGCACCTACTTAGGTTAACGACACTGAAACGTGTCACGGCAATTCATTAGCGTAATGAGACACGAGCGCAACACGAACGACATGACATGGCTGCATTTATTAACGTATTTTCTTCTCGAGCGAAGATTCAACCGGGGGTCTTTGCCCTCAAAGAAACAGAAACCGGCACTTTATCAGAGACATCGCTTAAAGTTTCTTTGGATGCTTGATTAATGGTTTCATTTGACCACGGCGGTATTTTCGCGAATGGCATTTATTCTTCCGTTCCGTTGCCGCTGTATTTTTAGTCATGGTTGCAACCAAGAAAAGAAACCCCATCGCGATGGGCAGGTTCTACTTACGTTTCCAGGAATAGCGGCGCTGATGAAGAGGGCCAGATTATCCGGCCAGGGCAAAAGCTTGTACTGCTCCCACCACCTCTTCACAACGAGGCTCACGTAGAAGCCCAGGACGAAAGACATGGGTATAGATTCGCTGGAGTTGCCGAAGTAATATCGGATTTTCTCGAAAATCCTGCGAAAAACGAAGAACTCCTTTTAAGCACAATTGTGTCAATTACAAATACTTATTTTACAGCTTATCTTCCGTTCTAATCATATACGTATATCTGAATAACATTAATTGAATTCTTTAATTATCCGGTTATCGTGTGTATAATAAACAAATGTGATAGATTAGCGTGAAACATATGTGAGTAATTCAAGTAAAGGTATGCGTGTGTTAAATTGAAATTATACTTTTTATTACATTATCTCAATAATATTACTTCAATTTCTAAATAATCGCACTATCATGCAATTAAGGTAGTAAAAATGGTACATAAATATATATATATATAGCTATAAAAAAGAGTTAACAAATATGATAGGTCAGTGTGAAGTAGATGTGAGTAATTGAAGCAACGTCACGAATGAAACAATATTTCGAAGAATGTAAGAAGGCTGAGCTATTGAGAAGGCTGAGATACCGGTGTACGTTTAAATGTCGCTGCAGTTTGTTACACGTGTGGCTATTAGTATTTCCTATATGAACTCGCCTATAAGTAGAGCAAGGTTGAGGTGATACCGTCACTCGTCGACGCCGCTACCGGCCGCATATGCCGATCGCTCGGCAAAGCAAACGGAAATTTTCCCTTCGGCCGCCGCACGATCGTTTGCGTAGGTTCAAATGCTGCTTTGTCGAAAGCGTATTTCAAGACAAGTCCGATTCTCTCGCACGTCGGTCATTGCCTCGCGATGCACACGCCGCTTCAAAGAGCGTGTAATCGCCACGTGTGAAGAGTAGCCATGTTCATTTTTATGACTTCACACCATCAACTCCGAACGATCGACGCGCGATTCCGGGATCTTTCGGTCTAAGTAGGTTTATGTCGGAATTTCCGCGGCTAACTGGTACCGTATTCGCACTCTTGAGGTAATATTGACTTACCGTTACCTGAACATACAATATCATGGGCACGAGAAATTATAATCGTTCTGAGCGCGCTGTCCCGCGAATAACAATGCGACAGTCAAACACTTTCGACCGCTATCGCGACTTCTACGTGTAATATCGAATACTTTCTCCGCGATATACTCCAAAAATATGCACACGCGCGCGCCCGAATCGTGTCAAAAGTTTTAAAAATAATGCAAGAATTCGAAGGCACTTTCCACGATAATATATTTAAACACGATACACGTCCGTTCTCGAGAAAGAAGATAGCGACTCTTGATAAATCGGCGCGCGAAAAGAATCTTGGAATTTTAACGGGGAACGATTAATCTTGCGGATCTTCGCTTGCGCGCATGCGCGCAGGCCGTACCTCGTTCTATTCTGCCGGTCGTTCGTCTTATCCTTTAGGTACACCGAACCCTAAACCCGCCTTAAGCCGTCCCTACGGGTCTAAATTTAGCGTGGGCGAATCGAGGCGATTTAAAAGAGAAATCTTTTTACATCCTTATGCGCTCTTTCGACGATTTTTTTTATCTCCTTTTTTCGACCCCGCATAAATAACAGGTTGCGTTTTTATGCTTTTTTTTAACGTCGTGGCCACGGACGCATCTTCAAAGCGTTTCGTGATGTATCACGAAGTGGTCCTCCCTTGTACAGGACGCGTCAAAAGAACCCTCTCGAAAAAATAGCAGCGCGAATTAATGAAAATGACCTCAATCGTGCCGAATTAATTACGTTGACGTTAGATCGGCACGAGGGACTCGTGCGAAAAGATTGTCCTGTTTGCGTTTAGATACGGGTACGTTTGCAGTGTAGGCTGCATATGTAATTTTTTCAAATGTAAATTTGTCACATATGGCGAGATAACGTCACTTGTGACTCGTGCTTCGCGATAACGCAAGTAAGCTGATCGTGTACGTACACTCAAACATACGTTGTGGTTATGCTTACAGTTAAACAGTCATTTGCATTCATCGCACGGGTCGACTGATTGTACTTTGGTTCACTCACCCACAGTGATTGTTTAATAACTTCGTAGGAAAAATATACAAGTGTGTTTTACACATTTAAAGATAGACCTCCTCGATCGACTATATAAACAGTAAAACAATAAAAACATTGAGACTTTGTAGAATTAGTAAAACAATATAAACATTGAGACTTTGTAGAATTAGTAAGTATGTGATAGTTAATTCATAGTATTTTCTCGAGGTTCGATATATAGTTGTGCGTTCTTAACATTACTACAAAATAATGTCAAATATATTTTTCAACTATGTCGATTGTTATTATTTATATTCAAGTGTACGGCCTTCGTGTCTTTGATTCTGCAATTCTATCCGATCGATCGCGAATCGAACCGAGCGCCGCGAAGGCAAGCGAAAGAAAGGTTACCGACTGTCCTGCATAGTAAAAATGCAGCAATGAATACTAATAAAAGGAAGGTACGTATCGCAAATCCTCCGACGTTAGCCGTATGAAACGCGGCCGTGATCGACGTGCCGGAACCTTCGGATTTGCCAGCGGGCCAAGGTCGATATCGTACGGGTTTATCACACCTATAAAATACGTTTATGGCAGATATGCCCACACATCGTAGCCGGCCGATCGTTGAATTCGGCGTGATGCGCGATAAGAAAGCCACGAGGAAATTGTCGGCGATCAACGGAAAACGTGGGGGGACTGCATTGTGCTTCCCCCCCCCCCCCCNTGTTCGTCAGACGCGACTATATGTTTTCTCTCTTTTGCCCACGGTTCTTACCCCCACATATCGCCTTGAGTTCGAGTCGCCGAGCCCCCCGTATTATGCTCATTGCGTCTCCACCGAAACGATTGTGTGTATGTGCGGAATTGAAATTACAGGCGGGAACGATCCCTCACCTAATGCGAGAAAATTTATTTCAACAACGCGCATCGCTTCAATACCGCAGCGAGGATGCGTTTTATTACGACACGTATATTTCCTGCCCGCGGTCCAGCCTTCGCTCACTCGTAAAGAACGATATTTACGAGAATCGCTTGTTAATTCCAGGTATATTCATGTACTCACACCCGCTGTTGGTCATTGAGAAGGTATCGATATGTAAAATTGATGAGGTAGTAGACGAACAGGTACGCCAGTAGTTCCCGCCAGATTAGCTTGTAAACAGAGCCACGCCATCTGCAAGAAAAAAGCAAAGTCCGTTAAAATTGATGTTAGTTGCACACGAGCAAACGCGATATCGCAGTTTTCGTCTTATTTACAGTAAAAAGTTTTGCTACAAACGGTCCACCTAAATTTTTGTGTTACTTGTGTTACTTTGACATTGAGAATACGCTAAAAATACAAATATTAAATTAATATATTATAAATTAACTGTAACTTGCAAATATATTACTTCTCAACATATTTACTTTGTTAAAGTAACTCGAAAATTTGAATGGACCGCTTGTAACACAAAATTTTTTACTGTGTTGCAGATATTCATCTTTCTTAATTTCTTTTAGATAAGAATTGCACATAAAACATTGTGTGATATCACGTTACACTTTGCGAAGAAGAAACTTGCATATTTTTATATCTCTCGTGTAAAAATAAATTATATCCCGCTTAGTCAGATGCTTTCCATAAGGAGATAAATCAACCGTTGCCCTAACTAAGGAAATTATGCGTTCGTACATCTGGGTGCACACTGTCTCTAAACCGAGAATAAGTTATTAGCAATAAATCCGCGATATATTTCGTCTGTAAATCACGGTAGCGAAGGCGACGTACTAAAAATTCACCATTCTAGAGCCGTAAAAACGGACGAAACCCGTCGTTCATTCCCGACAGGTTCATTCCCATCCTTTCCGGACTTCCTCCTTGTGTGAATGAACTTCGGAGGCATCGACCACCTGGTGTGCTCTTTTCTCTTTTCGAGCATCTTCACTTTTACTCGCACGTTTGGGAAGCGCGCGTGCCGATACTTCCTTGATTCTGCGACCACAACCGGTGTTCTGCTGCTTGAAACGCCTCCGCACCTCACGCACGCCCGCCGGTTCGTTCAAGCTACGCTTGACAAGTACTCTTCGGATTTACAAGCTAATTTCGAAGTATCACGGATATTAATAAACTGATGATGTGCCAGCTTGCGCGGACAGACGCATGCAAAACAGGTTTTGTTTGAAACGAGGAAAAGAGAGAAATACGGGAGACAAATCATCGCGTAATTTCACTTTCAACAGGTTGCTGTTTCATTGCGACGCGACCGAGTAACTGAGAGTGACATACCAACGGTATGAACAGACAATCGGTAACAGCTGGGATTATCCTGCTATGTGCGCTTCGGAACCGACCGGAGAATCAGCGAAAAGTGTGTCACGGCTAAATCGATTTTATGAGTTTCGTAGATACGATATTCGCGATATTTTATGGCGAAATGTTTTAAAATGTAACGTAAATATTTTGACGTGGCAAAACCGCATATCGGTCGGTTGATCGTGGGTCAATAACGATAAGTCGGAAATATTGGTGTAGCGAAGGAACTAATTAATAATCATGTCTTTCACGTTTCTCAAAATATATCATCGTAATTGCAAATCAGAAGTACTTAAATTTGTAGTCAGAAAAAGAGAGAGATTAAATTTAAAATAAAACTACGCGCTAATGTGTCCCCATTGCAAACGAGGCCGAAATAAAAAGCGTCGTTATCGATGTTACAAAGTCGATATGTCAACCATTGTTTGGAAATGATGTTGTGTGAGCTATGCCACTGGTTCAAGCAAAAATGACTGACATTTCATACGTTGGGATTTATTGACGTTCCTGTTGGATTTTACGTCACAAATTCTATATAGTCCATCGTGATGTAATAAAATTATATTTCATGGACATTTATTATACGTATCATATCGATCGATGTATCATATTGATGTACATCTTAACATATATTTACATAACGTTTATTGCAAATGAGATAATCAAGATTTTTTATTGCACATATAACACCTATATTGCCCATATGATCAGTCACGAAAAGGTTGCAAGACTCGTTTTGATAAGTTTTTTTTTTATAAGAACATGTTCCGTTCTAGTAGAATTTATTTTTCAATCATTCTCAAGAGATATATTTTCCTATCGGATACGAGATCTTTTGCGAAACTCATTGAAAAAAAACAAAGTATCGCAACACTTTTATAACCATACCGTGTGCTAAGCCGCGAGCGTGAAATGCATAGACGCTCATTCGGAATATAAAATAAAAAATATCGTTAATCAATATCACGCCTCTTGGGAGGGAGAAAGATATGAAAAGCTGTACCGGACGTCCGCCACATTCAGAGCAGCTAACTTGGTGTGCTCACAAGACCGTAACGGTACCGAGTGATCATTGCGCACGATAAATTCATTCGCAGCTGATACGACATGCAGGTTCAAAAGCGACGAGCGAGAATCTCTCGGGAGAGTAATTGAAACGGCTAATAAAATCGAGAAAAAGAATAAAACGTGCTAACATACTCGGATCAAAAGAATCCCGCCGATGTGATCAGGGTAATTGTGTTCCAATCATCGGAGTGGCGTAAACAGAATTATTTCCTTTCGACAGCGACTCTACCGATGCTCATCAGCCGATCTGTAATTACGGAAAACCTCGCGTCGCTGTGAGCCGTATTTTTTTGTCGCGTAGTACACGCTAATCAACGTTCACAAACGCAGTCGGTCACACAAGTTGCAATTTTACAAATGTAATCGTAAAATCGACGCGCGCAGCAGCTTGAGACACAATTGCGCGCCTCTAGTTGCCGATTAAATTGTTTGTCTTGTGCGTAATAAACGCTCGTTACCGTAAACGTTTAACGGACACTTCAGCCGGGGCTATTAAAGCGAGATAACGAAGCGTTTATCATTAAGCGTTAAAAGCAAGACGTTTCTAAAGGTTTTCGCGGAATGAAAATATACATAGAACGCATTGAAATGATCTACCGAGCTGCGACTCACGAAACGCGCTTGTTTTGCCCGTATCGAACCAGCATTCTATGCGGACGCTACCTTGTCGTAATATTAAATCGTCACGCTAGTAATCGCGATCAATTTTAAGGCTTTCCTTTCACTATTACGGTACGTATTAGCGGAAGAGCGCACTCTGAAGCCGCGGCTGGTAGCAGATTGAAACGTTAGAAATCGTCAAGAAACTATACGTTTCACGTTCGAAAATTCGATTTGCGTATAAATCAAAGTAAAATTAAGTTTATCCGAGATGCAATCCTAATCGTAATCTAATCGCAGGAGTATTAGATACATCCGAGCAAATAATTTCACCCAGAGGGAGGATGCATTTTTCCATATCAGCTACGCAATTTCACGAAATGATTTTCGCACGAAGAAGTAATAATCGTAGAAAACTCTTCCTGAAATTTTTCGAACGAAATGCATTTGAAACTCCCTATTTTATATATGATAAAAGCTGTCAATGTTAAATTTTCATATCTGTGAATATGTTCTGGCATCTCTCTGTACAATGATATATCACGTCTTGACGAGAACACGTGTGACTGGCACGAACACGTATGGCGTGAAATATAGAGAAGAATGGCGTTTGAATGAAGTTCGTGCGTTAATTTTTCGCCGAGATATGGACGTTCGAAGAGTTTGGAGTTTTTAAAAGCTACTCACGGTCCTTCGCCGGCGATCGGCTACATGCGGCGTGATACAATGTAGTGCGTCGCGAACTTCACACCTCCGGCGGCGCACGTAGCTAAAAGGGAGCGGCGTGCAACATTGTGACAGTCGCAGGTGCCCTTTGACAATTTTTCCGCTCGTTAATACCTTCACGTAGAAAAGTCGTAGCGACGTAGAACGAAATGCATTTTATAGCTGAAACTTTCTCGCTTCCGATGGTGAAGTGTCCATTCCTCTGTATTATTTATTAATTTTGCAATATTAATGTATCGCTGAATTTCATTATAATTTCTTTGTTTTTATTAAACCTATTAATTTTTGCAGCTGTATATTTAAATTTAATTTTACAATTTTATAATTTAATTTTAATATAAATCGGCCTTAAATTTCTTTTACGTTGAAGATAAATTTATAATAAAAAGTATGATTATGATTTTGATTCAAGTGTATCTGAAAGTAATGAAGCGAGAAAGAAAATTGCGTTACATATAACTTACTGGTTGTTTTGATGTAGGAGAGAATTATTATTTTATTTTTATATTTGTCCCAGTTTACCGTTTTCTACATATTTCGGCTGTATATGATTATATAAAGACGAATTGCGGTGATTATCTTCGGCTCCGCGGATATATAAACCAATTTTAAAGGCAAAACATTTGTCAGGAAAATATTTGGCATAACGACGTAAGAAGATTTAGTTATTCCACTATTTGTGTGTCAGTAGGTCATGGTAGGAGGCAATGTACCGCGATTTTCATACGACGACGTATACAATGGCACACCCTCCACATGTGCCCTATACGCACGCGTGAGTACGACATATACGTGAATAACGTAAGCCATTATATCGTCGTGGTTACGATCAACAGAATCCGTCGTTGTATCGTTAATCAACCCATGAAGCTGGTTAGCCGACCTTCATCGAGTTTACGATTTCTTTCCAAGGGTGAGGATTACCGGCGCGTAATACGCCATTAAAAATAGGTGCTACGGTCTTAAAGAAAAAAAAGGCGTGTAATCTTATCGTATGCCTGTTTCCCGTGATGCGATTATTTTGTTCACAATACGAATCGTTGCTTATTTCGACTGGTTACCGCGAGTTAAGGCTGATCGCATCGCGGAGGAATCACGCATTACGACGGTTGAATGTTAAGAGTGAATTAAATGCTATAAAATAATACATAATATTAATATTACGATACAGGTAATATATTAAATAAACGAATAAGTAACGATGTTTGTAGCACTTTATTAATTGCTTACTTTAAGTAATTACATACGCCGAAAAAAGCACACGTTAAAGTTTAGTGTACTACTGTTTCTCCTGATTACTTATATGCCGTAATATATTGATCGCAATACATCGAATGAAATAGCAAATTGAATAATCATTGCGTGTAAGCATGTTATGGTTGGTTTTCTTTTTTCAATGTTTACGCATGAACCAGACGTAATTATATAGATGCTGCCTGTCGGTTGTCCGCGTACGAAGATGATATCTTGATTCGCCAATTGATTTA